TGAATGTATGAATGAATGTATGTATGAATGTATGGATATATAATGAGCACGTGCGGAAAATAATTACTGTACGATAAATGATATTACCTCGATGTTTTGTCGAGTCTGACTTTTTTGCCGGTAGGTGCTATGCCTTGCCGGAATATTATTCGCACCAAATCAACTTCAGGATTTGGCAAAAGAACATTATTAATGTCGGTTATTAAATGGCTAGAGGAAAAGCTCGACAACGAAGAAATATAAAGATGTCAGCTCAGCCGGAGTCGAGGCTCAACGGCGAGCAAAATATGGTTACGTCGGCTCAGCCGGAGTCGAGGCTCAACGGCGAGCAAAATAGGGACGTCGGCTCAGCCGGAGTCGAGGCTCAATGGCGAGATCGATGATCAGTCTCTGCAGAATAAATAAGTCAGGCCAGCTCTCGGCGTGAATGAATGGGTCGAGATTGCTCCGAGCGTAAATCAATGACTCCGGCTCTGACATATATAAATGAATTCGGCTCCGTCGTGAATAAATAGGATTAGCTCCGACGTCGAAAAATGAATTCGACCCAGTATAGATAGATTAGGCCCCGGCATAAGTAAAAGAATTCAAGCGAATGATAAATCGTCCCAGTGTGAATGAATTCGGCCTCTGCTATCGTCGGTTTGAGTAAATAAATGCAGCGCCAGCTTTTGTCTCGAGCGTCTTAAATAAACCCGGAGCCGACTTTCGTCGATCTGTCAGAGTGATTTTGCCGGGCTCTTTGACTTCAAGATTTTAGATCCTTTGCAGTCGGTAGTCTAAAATATATCTTTACTGCCAGGCTCAACTGTACTTGTATCTTGGACCACAACTGGCAAAGGCCCAAGTCAATTAGGTTTACCTAGGTCCAGGTTGTTTTCCACTCACCCGCTTCGCACGCCAGTGCACTCCATTCTTTCTCTCTTTCCCTGCTTGCTTCATATTTCTCTTTCTCTTTTTTTTTTTACGCAATCATCGACAAGAGCACGAGGAACGGCTTCGTTCTTCTCCCTGTCGTTGAGGATTTTCGGTCATAGTAGCGGAAGTCGGAAGTCTAGCCACAATTTGTCGGACCGACGGTTGTGACATAAAATCGACCAGAATTGACAAGGTCTGATATATCGTTTTATACAGATCGACTCGGATTGACAATTATAGGCGTACTCTGGTCGCGACGAAGGATTCGGAGGTCGAGATCGTGGTTTATCGGATCTCAGTGGTTGTGCTCTGAAAATCAGTTGCAGCTGAGAATTATCGTGTTGCGAAGTCGGTGGCACCGACAGTTTCGAAGTCGGGTGGACTGGTCGTCGGTGTGACGAACTGAGCAGATCAGTCGGCGACGTCGGTCGGGAGAGGGAAAAGTCGGCAATGTCGTATGTCGGTATGGAGATGATGAACTCGGTCTCACCGTGCAGATCGGGAAAGATGGAAGTGAACTCCGATTTGCCACAGGGACTTAAAAATCGAAGTTGGCCCGATTGTAATTTCAGAAATCCGACGACAGGTCTGTTCAGTCTGAAATCTGAGTTTGCCTAATCATTCCAGATTCGGCCGTGATAAAGTCGGCCGGTTGTGTTGGGAGACCCTCCGCAGGCGTGACGTCATTCCTTGAGTTGATGTCGGTGTCGGTTCGCGAGGTCCCAACAATGTGAAGTCGGGGCTCCGCCGAGGTTCTG